GTTAGTGCGGGTGGAGTGTCTCTGTCACCGGGCTGCTTGGCAGCCAAAGCTGAAGGAGATGAAATGAAACAAAAGGCAAGTGTTTTCTGATCAAAGTATCCTTTGATACTTCAGAAAAAAGCAAGTATTCCAAATCTCAAAGGATTTCTAAATGCATTTTATAAGAGACATAAAAGAACAATGGTAGATTCCCAATAACTACTGTTTATGAAGTAGAATATCTCCTCCATGCTAAGGGTTTCTCACTGCAGCCTGCAGAGTGGACACTGCAGATGAGAAAGCTGAGATTTAGAGGGTTGGCAAATTGCTTAAGGTCACACAGATAATAAATAGTCTACTTGGTGTAAATGGCCCCAGAGCACCTCTCATGATGTTACTCCTTAATAACCATTTCAAAAGCAATATCTCAAAGCTTTATACGCCTTATTTCTTGTATTACCCTTGATCAAAACCAACAGTGTGATACTGAAACAGAACTCAGCTAAGATATGCCTTTGGTACCAAGACATTAAATTTATTATTATAAGATCCTTAAAAAGTATTTGTTTCCTATTTTGATTAGTCTACAGATAAAATTATACTTGTCATTTAATGCTTTCTTTCTAAAAAGAGCATGCACTTTCCAAAAATTGAGCCAGTAAATTAGTTGTGTGCTTCTCTGCCTCTGAGACTGTCTGTTTCTCCTCCTCCTTCTTTTTATTCCAGTTTTAATTAAATTCATACACATCTGGTTATTTGCTCTTCCAGTCTCTTTATTAAAAGTTACTATTACTCAAGATAAACTTCAATAATTAGGTGCTACAATTTTTGTCAGATTCATTATTTCTTCCCATTAAATTGTTGGATTTATATAGAAGACATTGTAGGTCTTCTCCCAAACTGTTGTTCAGATTTTCAATATGTTTCCTTGCTTGTCCATGATTTACTTTAATTGTTATTACCTCTAACACTTGGTTTATTCTACAATGGGCTTCCCTGATGGCTTATTCTAGAATATCCGATAATCTTATTTTTTAGTTTTTTTAATCCTCTTGTCTATTTATGTTGACTCTCCATGATTTAAATAATCTGCAGCTAAGATTGAGAATACCTTGATAAGGTCTATTTCTTTGTGATTAGGTATTTCTTAATCAGTTCTATGTCATTCATATGATATGGTAAAATGTCTTGATGCATTTTCCTATGAGTACACAATTTTGAGAAGCATTTTTCACCCTTAATATCCTTTTCTTCCCCACTTCTCCATGTGCAGTGATCTCAATGTATCAAAATAAGATTAGGATTTGTTGAGATTAGAAGTGTATATTTTATTTAAAACCTAGTTTGAAAATAAGGGGCAGTGTTCCTATTATTCAGCTCGTGGTTGTTCAGTCGCTCAGTCGTGTCTGACTCTGTGACCCCATGAACTGCAGCACGCCAGGCTTCCCTGTCCTTCACTGTCTTCTGGAACTTGCCCAAACTCATGTCTGTTGAGTTGGTGATGCCATCCAACCATCTCATCCTCTATCATCCCCTTCTCCTCCTGCCTTCAATCTTTCCCAGCATCAGGGTCTTTTCCAATGAGTCAGCTCTTCCCATGGGGTGGCCAAAGTATTGGAGCTATTTCAGCATCAGTCCTTCCAACAAATATTTAGGGTTGGCTTTTATGACTTCTGATAGTATAAGACAGAATTTTTCAAAGATATTCTAGGGATTTTTTTTGAGGGTCATTGAAACCCCTTTCAGAGGGTCTGTGAAGTCAAAATCATTTCATCATAATATGAAAGCATTTTTCCTTACTTTCCAGTTAGTCATGTATGAATGTGAGAGTTGAACCATAAAGAAAGCTGAGCACCAAAGAATTAATGCTTTCAAACTGTGATGCTGGAGAAGACTCTTGAGAGTTGCTTGGACTGCAAGGAGATCCAACCAGTTCATCCTAAAGGAAATCAACTCTGAATATTCACTGGAAGGACTGATGCTGAAACTGAAGCTCCAATACTTTGGCCAAGAGCCAACTCATTTGAAAAGACCCTGATGCTGGGAAAGATTGAGGGCAGGAGAAGAAGGGGACAACAGAGTATGAGATGGTTGGATGGCATCACCCACTCAATGGACATGAGTTTGAGCAGGCTCTGGGAGATAGTGAAGGACAGGGAGGCCTGGCATGCTGCAGTCCATGAGGTCACAAAAAGCTGGACACAACTTGGGGACTGAACAACAACAACATGGTATGTGATTTTACGGTAGAGAAAGAAGAAGTGCATGTGAGAGTCCAGCAGTTTTCTGTTAAACCAGAAATGAAAGAAATTTGTAAAACTTTAAAATAGTAGTATAGTACTCACTAGTTTCATATCTTAGAAAATAGTTATTTATATTTTAAAACATGTATATTGTCATGAGTTTATTGTTTTATTTTTAAATTAAAAGTAATTTTTTGATTTCTCAGTTTTAACCATTTGCACAGTAACTAAATGTTAGGTAGAGCTCACATAAACAAAAGCTCTTTGAGGTCCTTAAAAATTTTAACTGTAAAGAAGTTCTGAGGCCAGAAAGTCTGAGAACCGGCGCTCTAGAAGCACAGCTACTTCCGATGACTGTGTCTCCTTTGGGGGAGGCAGAAGACCATACTCCATGTTTGCCTTCTTCCTGGCTTCCCAGCTGGAAATAATGTAAAGGTTAAAAGTAGTAACTATTGATCGAAGGCAATCAGTGAGTCTAAGCAAATATAAGATTGCCATTTTGTCAATAAAGTCTCCCACATGTCTGGATGATTATATCATGAGTATTAATAATCTTTCTACACCAAGTCACTTACAGCAAATGATCGTTGCCTCTGTTTTTAGAAGTCGGGATCAGGACTGTTGGCATTCATTCCATTATTTGCTTTTCAGTTTGTTCCTCTGGTACTGCGTGACTCCTAGATCTATTATTTTCTATAAAACTCTTCTTCTCTTAGCTCTCCTTTTGGAGTGCCAAATGATGTTTTGTTTGTTTTGTCTTGCTTTTTTAAAATTTGCACTTAAGACACATAACCACCTCTTTTGTTCAAGAAAGCCAGAACAACATTTAATGAAAATCTTTATGTAATTAGTACTTTGCTAAACCAACACTTGTCCCCTCATCTCATTTTTTGTTACTGTGTCACTATTTTCAGCATCATTTTCTTCCCCAAGCTATGGAGCTTCTTAAACTGGGTTAGAAAATCAATATTTTCTATTGATTTATGCAATTCTTAGATACGTTCCAAAGCTATTGTATGAGACACTCACATCTTTGCCTTTCACACTGCAGATATACAAGATATAGTATGTTCCTCCTCAGGGATGGTGTTTTCTTCCAGGGTATGATTAGAGGCTGAGTGTGGTCCTCTGCCACTCTCATTTCTCCTCCCCCTCTTACTAAATACCTTGTCTCTTCTCCATCGTTCTCCCTTCTTCTCCTTTATTTGTATTTTCATCTCATCCCCACACTACACAGTCAAGCAGTAAGTGGTTCTTGAGCTCCTGCTTGGGAATCCTGCATGGGCAGATGCCCAGATCTGAGCCCACCAACTCGACATCCAGTTGTGACCTTGTAAGGATCTCTCAGCCTCTTTATCCTTCAGCTTTCTCATCTGCAGAACAGGAATTATGTGACTTCCATCATAAAGCTGCTGTGAAGTTTAGGTAAGCCAAGAGATCTAAATGGTGTTTATAATGGTGCGTGGACTATATGAGTAAGCAGAGAAAGACAAATTAAACCAAACTTAACATATAATTTTTATCTTCCATCTCAGCAGAAGTTAAAAATATAAACTTGGTATTTAGATATTAGGAAAACACATACGCTTACACTGTTTATGTGAGTAAATGTTGTTGGAGTCTTTTAGGAAAGTGATTTTGCAGTACATATTAAAATTAAAAATCTGTATACCTTTTGACCACACCAGACCTGCTTTCAGGTATCTATCCTAGAGAATATCAGCAAAGATGCTCACATTTGTAAGTATTGAAGGTTTATTACTGCATTAAAAATTTGGATGTCCATCAAAGTGGAAATAGCAAAATAAAAAGTGATATATCCAACAAAAAATGAATACATGGGTTAAATAAAATAAGTTATGGTGACATATGGGAAAAAGTTTAAAACATGTTGTTAAAAAAATAAAAGCAGTGTGAAAAAATTTTATTAGTGTTATGTTTATGTAAGAAAATGGAAAAATCAGGTATATTTCTTTGTATGCATGTACTCATATTTGTAAATGCATAGAGAAAAGTTCAGACCATTTCAAAGTGATGAATGATTACTTTTGGAGAAGACGTAGACTTCCCCTGGAGGAGAAGCAGGGTCAGGTAGAACTTTAACATTCGCAACAAGAATGTGCTTCATGTGTGATTACACATGACTTACAAAAGAATTTAAAATATAATAAAATGAATGTTAGAGGTAATCTTTAAGATAATATCAATGATAGCTGGATATACTAATCCTCAAAGAGCCTATGAAAGCATTTATTGTCATTAAACAATATTTATCATATTAAAAGTAGTTTTCTATAATAATTACTCACATCTAAATGTCTGTTCAAACAATAATTATGAAGTCTTTGCTATGGTTGTGAACTTCTAAGATGACACATAGAATTATGTCTTTCAGATAATAAATCAGACAAATTTCAACACAGGGCATGTTGACTTTATTATTTATAATAATAATTAGCCTATTTGAGCTGATATGATAATATGCATATGAGAACTGTAACCAATGTTCTCTGAGAAGTAAATATTTTATTTGTGGCAATAGCTTCTATACAATTTAAGTTGCATTTCATTTTTCGGAAGCTACGTATAAGCTATTCTCAAATGACATTTAATGTAAAATGCATTCACCTTTATGGTGTTTATTTTTAAATTTTAATATGTGTGTGTTTGAATTATATAACTTAGTAAAGATTATTATAATTCTGGAAAGATTACCTATAAATGTTGGCACCATAAATATAATTACATGACTGTTACTTCATTATTGTCCATATTTAGTACCTACATGAAAATGGGATTGTCCATCGTGATCTCAAACCAGAGAATCTTCTCTATGCAACTCCAGCACCAGATGCGCCACTCAAAATTGGTAAGGGTATTTCTTGATGTCTTTTTAATCCCTGTTCCCAAAGCAGAAGAGATCTATTCCGTGGAATTTATAAATATTGCTCTGTCCGGTTTTGTCTCCATTCAGTTTCCTCAAATAAGGAAGTCTGTAAAGGAATAATACATTGCTTTGGAAGTCTGTACTCTTTCCTAGAATATTAGCTTGAATTAATGTGTGCAAGTTGGTACTTTATAGCTGAACACACAAAGGAATCACAGCCCTTGGAAAAGATAGGGACTTCAGGAGCTGAACTTGTATTTTGAAGATAAGTTTATTATAGAAGAAAATCACAGATCACGTAACATTTCTTTTTGGTTATCGACTTTTATCACAAGTTAGTTGGAGCTTCATTTAGATAATGAAGAACTCTGACACAAAACGCTTAGGACATATCCGTGTACTCTGGCTCTCAGTCATTTGTTCATATGAACAGAGATAAGCTGAGATCTGTACTTCTCAACGTGCACACCACAGAACGCCAGTCCTCAGTGAACAAGGGGGGGTGAAGCCCTTGCGGGGACAAGTATGGAGGTGCTGGGCTTGGTCAAGGAAGTCAGGGAACGCTGAGTCAGCTAGGCAAGGCTTTATTTCTGCAGGGCTTTCAGAAAGTTATAAGTGCTAATGTGTGGACTTAACATCTAAATTAGTGTCTGTAAGGCTCTTCCCAAGCCTTATTTAACTCTGGAAACTTTGATTTGTATTTTTTTTCCCCAAAAAAGAACTTAAAGAACTACAGAGATGATTTGGAAAGTTCTGATCTACCCAGAGAGATGAGTAAATCAGCATTTTAGGAAAAAAATATATATTAAATTTACTTTCTTTGTCCCATACAAAGCAAATCTTTGTTTACAAAAATAATTATAAAGTTTAGTTTAGATGAAATCTCCTTTGGAGAATCTGTTCTAAATCCTCTGAAGGGCAATGCTCTCTTGGTGCTGTCCTTTATAATGCTAATCTAATGAGTTCACTGCATTTATGTTAAGATATTTGAAAATTAATTTGTACATATTACGGGAAAGCTCAGACAACATAATATACTTTATGAATACCAGAACCTAAAGGAAAAATGCTGAGGTCCTGCTGGCCACCAGCCTGTTTTCTTGGTCACTCCTGAAAGGCAGCAAGCAGCAGGAGGCTTCCGTTTGTTGCTTCCTTTAACAGCATTTTCAAAGATTTTATCCTTAAAGAGATTTCTTTAAATGGATGGATAGATACTAATTTAGCTGGGAGAGCCTTCCTTTCTGAAGGACTTCTGCTGCTCTTTCTGATAAGGATCAGCACTCCATGGAAATGCGGGTTTAACTTTGAAGTCTAAAATGGCATCAGTTCTGCACCTGCCTCCCTTGAAGAATGCCCTTGAACTGTTTCCTCATGTTTCCTTGGTGAGAGAGATGTAGCCCAGCAAATAGAGTATAATGATAGCAACTTTTGATCATGTTTTATCTAGGTAATATTCTGAGAAATAAATAAAAAGGATTTTTGCACAGAGTTACATGTTCCTCAAATGAGAGTAAATTCTTGTCCATCAAATACCCTAAAGAATGAAACTCTTTATTTTGAAGCAGAATAAACCTTTGATATTTCTGCTCATTTTCTTGACATTTAAGAAAGTCTAATTTTTTTATTCTAATTTCTTCCAATGGATTGAAAGTTCTGATTTTACTAGTAATTCTATGCTGTCCTTTAGAGTTAGTTTCAAATCTTAGAATTAACATTATACAAAATATATCCATTGCATCTATTATTTCTAGAAGAAATAGCTTATTTACTAAAAGCTAGTAATTACAGAGAAAACATAAAATAAATATTGGAGTCATGGGGTAAATTTTTTTCCAACTCAAGGACAGACTTTAACTATTATTTAGTTCTTTTAGTTTACTCTCCCCAGTGACTGTCCTCTATATCCACCCCAATATCAAATACCAAAACAAACAAGTTTTGCTTTGAATAATAAAATAGTCATCTGTTATCTTATAAAAGCTGAGAAAATGCTCATTTCACTAACTTATTTTTGTCTTCTTAGCTGATTTTGGACTCTCCAAAATCGTGGAACATCAAGTACTCATGAAGACAGTATGTGGAACCCCGGGATACTGTGGTATGTTCTTTAATACTGATATTTTACTCGTGTTATATTAAAAGTACTAATATCTCTATGTGAAGCATAATTTGATATGTCTCCATGAGGAAGGCATTTATAAATGACACTCAGACTACCTCTTGTTCTGCATGAGGGGTTCAATTATGTTGATTTTAGGGCACCACTGCAGGACAGCACGGAGGGGAGACCCAGGAGAAGGGACAGGAGCTCTGTGCCTGGGGACCAGCAGGAAGGGACAGGAGCTCTGCGCCGGGGACCAGCAGGAAGGGACAGGAGCTCTGTGCCTGGGGACCAGCAGGAAGGGACAGGAGCTCTGCGCCGGGGACCAGCAGGAAGGGACAGGAGCTCTGTGCCTGGGGACCAGCAGGAAGGGACAGGAGCTCTGCGCCGGGGACCAGGAGGAGGGACAGGAGCTCTGTGCCTGGGGACCAGCAGGAAGGGACAGGAGCTCTGTGCCTGGGGACCAGCAGGAAGGGACAGGAGCTCTGCGCCGGGGACCAGGAGGAGGGACAGGAGCTCTGTGCCTGGGGACCAGCAGGAAGGGACAGGAGCTCTGTGCCTGGGGACCAGCAGGAAGGGACAGGAGCTCTGCGCCGGGGACCAGGAGGAGGGACAGGAGCTCTGTGCCTGGGGACCAGCAGGAAGGGACAGGAGCTCTGTGCCTGGGGACCAGCAGGAAGGGACAGGAGCTCTGCGCCGGGGACCAGGAGGAGGGACAGGAGCTCTGTGCCTGGGGACCAGCAGGAAGGGACAGGAGCTCTGTGCCTGGGGACCAGCAGGAAGGGACAGGAGCTCTGCGCCGGGGACCAGGAGGAGGGACAGGAGCTCTGTGCCTGGGGACCAGCAGGAAGGGACAGGAGCTCTGTGCCTGGGGACCAGCAGGAAGGGACAGGAGCTCTGCGCCGGGGACCAGGAGGAGGGACAGGAGCTCTGTGCCTGGGGACCAGCAGGAAGGGACAGGAGCTCTGTGCCTGGGGACCAGCAGGAAGGGACAGGAGCTCTGCGCCTGGGGACGAGGAAGGGGCAGGAGCTGTGCGCCTGGGGACCAGCAGGAAGGGACAGGAGCTCTGTGCCTGGGGACCAGCAGGAAGGGACAGGAGCTGTGCGCCTGGGAACCAGCAGGAAGAGACAGGAGCTCTGAGCCTGGGGACCAGGAGGAGGGACAGGAGCTGTGCGCCTGGGGACGAGGAAGGGACAGGAGCTCTGCCCCGGGGACCAGGAGGAGGGACAAGAGCTCTGTGTCTGGGGGAGCCAGGCGGAAGGAAGTGGAGCTCTGTGCCTGCCTTTTAGGAAGCAGCTGCTCTTATCCCCACTCAGGAGTAGAAACAGAGTCTCCAGGGAAAAGGACAGGGAAATTGCTTTGTGATTCGGATTAAAGCCAGGAACTCTTTGTCACTTTACTCACTTGCTTTTTGTTAGGCAGGTGTGTGAGGAGACGTGTCATTGATTCCAATGGTGTGCAGGACTGCAGTTAGCGCAGGTGGCCCCTGGTTCTCATTGATGGACCTGGTCTAGCCTCACTAGGAGAAGGCTGTAAGTGGGGTTTCCCAGCCAGAGTCCCCAGACATGACACAGTCCTCGCATCCTTGCCCATCTTCCCAGCCTCCCAGAACAGTCTGAGGGCACCCTGGGCTACAGGCCACAGTCGGAGGCAGAACAGTAGCGTTTGATCCAAGACAGCATGATGCTCTCCACCCCCCCCCCTTTTTTTCTTGATGACTCTCTTAATCTGGCAGCAACCTAAAAGCCAATAAAGCTTGTAAGAATTATGAAGAATTTCTCAAGTTTTTCTGACTCATGAATACATCACAAATTAAATAAAATCTGTGTTACAAAGAAGAGAGACAAGATTTCAGGTTACCAGTCGTAAAACTAGGTATCATTTTCTTTTAGGACCATCATCTTTTTTATACAAATCTTCCTTCACTTACTCATATCTTCAGCAAAATCACCTGCTATATTCAAGTCAGTGCTTGGCACCAGGAAGATGCATTTTCTTGACCCCTCCCCCACCCTCAAGGGCTCAGAATCTGTAGGGGAACGGATGTGAAACCAAACACATACACCTCGAGGAATGCCATGTTGTGCTCCTGGAAAGGCCCTTATGGAAACATAGGAGAAGGGTGGTTTTATAGTTATCTGTCTTCTTCTTCTATGGGAGTTATGTTTCTTAGTCACTTCATCTCATAAGTAGACACATAAGAACTACATTACTAACTCATTTTAACAACTTTTGAATTCACAGAGATGAGACAAGCAGTGCACTAAGAAAGCCACTGAAGGAAACATATGATTAAATTCACAGAATTTTAGTGCTAGAAGGAACTTTAGTGTTCATCACATTCTCATTTTACTAAGGTCAAGAGTATGACTTCCTCAAGATTCCAAGTTTAGTTACTAGAGGATCAGGGATAAGAATCCCGGTATTCAAGGTCCTAAAAACAGAATTACAGAAGGAGGAACTAACCCACTCCAGTGCTCTTGCTGGGGTAATCCCATGGACAGAGGAGTCTGTGGTCCATGGGGTCGCCAAAAGTCAGACACAGCTGAACACACATGCTTCACATGAATCAAAAAAGCAGTGTAGACAAACCACTATAGTTTCCCTTCATAGCAGTATATATCGTTGACAGCTTTCAGTTTAAAATGTTTAAAATGTTCTCTGTTTTAATTTTTGAAACCTCAGAAGTGTTGGTCATTGTAAGAAGTGAAAATCCAAGCATTGTTACTTGGTCGCCCAGTCATGTCTGACTGTCTGTCACCCTATGGATGGCAGCACAGAAAGACAGGAAATGTCCTGCACCGTCTCCCAGAGCTCGCTCAGACTCATACATCTCGAGTCGGTGATGCCATCCAATCATGTCATCCTCTGTCCCTCCCTTCTCCCCCTGCTCTCAATCTTTCCCCACATCAGGGTCTTTCCAATAAGTCGGGTCCTCACATCAGGTGGCCAAATTATTGGAGTTTCAGCTTCAGCATCAGTTCTTCCAGTGAATATTCTGGGTTGATTTCCTTTAGGATGGACTGGTTTGGTCTCCTTGCAGTCCAAGAGGACTCTGAAGAGTCTTTTCCAACACCACAGTTCAAAAGCATCAATTCTTCAGTGCTCAACATTCTTTATGGTCCAACACTCATATCCACACGTAACTACTGGAAAAACCATAGCTTTGACTATATGGACCTGTGTGGGTAAAATGATGTCTCTGCTTTTTAATATGCTATCTAGGTTTGTCATAGCTTTTCTTCCAAGGAGCAAGCATCTTTTAATTTCATGGCTACAGTGACCATCCACAGTGATTTTGGAGCCCAGGAAAATAAAATCTGTCACTATGTCCACTTTCTCCAAATAAGACAGATGTTGACTTCTCTGACAGACTGGGGATCTGGAGGTCGGCAGTCCAGGTGGGTTCCACAGCTATGGCTCTGCAGGTGTGGTGCATCTCAGTGTCAGGGATTCAGACTCTTTCTGTCTTACTCTACCATTCCTGAGTATGTTTCCTCACAGCCCAAAATGACTGCTTGAAATCAGTCATTACATCTGCATTCTACACAACCAGAAGAAATAAACACTAAGAAAGCACATTTTTATGTTAAACGGACTTCCGGAAGCCCCACGTGTCACTTCCACTTGTATGTTATTCTCCAGTACTTCACTCCAGGCGCTGAAGACCAGAGAAGCTGCCACCATGTCCCTTACTGGATGTACTGCGGTCCCGCATGAACTCAGGGTCTGTTAGCAGAGTGAGTGCTGCACCAGACAACTATCTCCACCACAGGCTTATGAGTGAGATTTTCATTCTCAGAAAAAAATGTGGAAACCATTACAGTATGTTCCTTTTAGCCATCCTCTTCTGTTTTTATATTTTTATTTTCCTTAGAACTGTTACCTGACAACCTGTCCATCACCCTTCCCTTCTAATCGTGCCATTGAACTTTTCCTTTCTCTAATTCATATGTCCTTATTTGACCTCATCCTGAATTTCTTTCCTGCTGCCAGACCTCCAACAACATGGGGAAAAGAAGAACCCTGAATTCAGTACTACATACCAAGTGGGGTGGCCCATTTTTGACCCTTAATTGCTGACCAGTTGACAGAAGCATTGAAAGAGGATTGAGGAAAGAATGAGACAACAAATTAAGGGTTTCCCACAATAGTAAAGCTGGTGGGCAACTTAGTAATCGTTGTCTAATACTGAATACTAAGTATAACAGGGAGATAGGTAGGTTGGAGAAATCCTCTGAGAATTGAGCAGCCTGAAATGGAAGGATCAGGGAGAAATTACCCTAGTGGTCTCTCAGGGTCCCTTCCATGACTGAGATAGCAGAGTCCTTTCAACAGCTTATTAATAATAGTGATAAGAGCAAGTCTTTCTTGTGACAGTACAAAGTGGTCATTCTCAGTCAGTCAGTTCAGTCACTCAGTCGTATCCAACTCTTTCGACTCCATGGACCGCAGCACGCCAGGCCTCCCTGTCCATCTCCAGCTCCCAGCGTTTACTCAAACTCATGTCCGTTGAGTTGGTGATGCCATCCAACCATCTCATCATATTGGGCACCTTCCTGCCTGGAGAGTTCATCATTCATTGTCCTATCTTTTTACCTTTTCATACTGATCAAGGGGTTCTCAAGGCAAGAATACTGAAGTGGTTTGCCATTCCCTTCTCCAGTGGACGTCTTGTCAGAACTCTCCATCATGACCCTCCTGTCTTGGGTGGCCCTCCATGGCGTGGCTCCTAGTTTCATTGAGTTAGACAAGGCTGTGGTTCATATGATTAGATTGGTTAGTTTTCTGTGATTGTGGTTTTCAGTCTGGTTATTCTGTGAATGAATGATTGACTCATATTGATTCACTATGAATGAGTGATTCATTCACTGATAAAATGAACACTGAATGTGTTAATAGACTCCCCATGTTGTCACCAAGATTATGAGTGAACACAGTATGATCTTGCCCTTTAAGGATCTCACAGGCTATAAAAGAAGAAAGACCTGTACAG